CGGTGTCGACGTCCCTTGCGAGAGATGCGGGTAGGGTGGCTGGTCGGGTGTGGCGGGGAGGGCAGATCTTCCCCGCCGCCCATGGCCCCCGTTAGGGTGGCTATGGTGCTATGCTGATCGGAGGAGGAGAGTCGGTGGACATATCGGCTGAAGGTTCACTGTTTTGGGGTCCTTCATCCAGCCCAGCTACTCCGTAGCTGAGTGATGTCTCGTGGCAGTGGAGACAGGTTCAACGATGTTGGATTGGGACCCGTTTGCCCGACGTGTGGGTGCAAGAAGAACCCTCATCACTTCAAGTTCTGCGAACACTGCTTCGGTGATATTCCTTTCTTTCGCTCCAGGTATCCTCCGCGTGGGCATGGGGGGTACTGGGGACCGCAGGATGGAGTGAGTCAAAGGCAGTGGCAAGGGCCATGAAGGGCTCAAGTCAATGAGTGGCAGAAAGGGGGGTCCGTCAAGGCAGCAGTCCCCTGGATGCGGAAGCAGTGAAGCCAGTGAGGGAGGACGATGCGCTCCCCACTCGGCGCAGAAAGGCAGATGCGGTGGTGGTGGTCGCAGGGGTAACGTCGACCCCCATCGCCCACTCATCGCTGCGAGGGGCCCGCCGTGGAGCGGGGCTCGTGGGAAGGCGTCGATCATCGAAGGCGCAAGAAGTGCATAATCACAGATTCCTCTCGCTTCGCGGGGTGCACGCCCGGAGCACGTAAAGACTGGGCGTCTGGTGGTCTTCCCTGCACGTCTGTCGCGCCGGTCTGCCGTGCCGTTCTGCCCGAGCTGGGGCGGTGCCAACGCCATTGGGGCCTCTGGAGGGCCTCTGTGAGCCGCTCGGAGTATGTCCAGTCCAGTTCTTTGGGGACCTCTGGAGCCACTCTTGGGAACTCCTGGGGGCGTCTTGGGGGCCTGTTGGAGACTCCCTTGGGGGCCTCTGCGGAATTCCTGGAGGTCTCTTGGGGGTGTGTTGAACCGTCTTGGGTGGTTTCTTGGGGCCTCCTGGAGGCTTCTTGGGGGCCTTTGGGGGGCCTCTTGGGGGCCTCTTGGGGCTTCTTGGGGGCGTTTGGGGCCGTCTTGAGGCTCTCTTGCGCCGTTCGGCCCCTTCGGAGGCTGTCTTGGGGGCCTCTCGGGGCCGCCTTGGGGTGATCTTGGGGTCCTCTTGGGCCGTCTTGGGGGCCTCTGGGACCGTCTTGGAGGCCTCTTTGGGCCATATTGGGGCCCTCTTGGGCTGTCTTTGGATCCTCTTCTGGGCTTCTTGGGCCGTCTTGGGGCGATTTCGAAGGCTGCTTGGACCGCCATGGGCCTCCGAGAGTCGAGAAGGGCGAGAACGTTACAATTCTTCTAAAACCTTTATTCTTGGGGGTCCTCTTGGGGCCATCTTGGGACGTCTTGGGGGCTCTGTCAGCCCTCTTGGGGCCATCCTGGACCTTCACGGGGGCGTGTTCGCCCGTCTTGAGGCCATCTAGAGCCGTCATGAGGCCCTCTTGGGTACCCCAAGAGGGCGAATAGGCCAGAAGCATTGATTTTCTTTAGGTTCGGATAGGTTTTTGGGCGGGGTCAGGTTGGGTCGACGGATGTGGCGAAGCGCTGGGGGAGGGGGGAGGGGGGGAGACATAATAATGTAACACACTACAACATGCGCACCAATTATGTGAGAACGGGGTACATTGCAAGTGTGCAATCATTGGACGCATGGGATACGTTGCATTCTCGCTTCCGCAGAATACGCTGCCGCTCAGCACGTCAATTCCGGACGTGGATTCTACAGGGTCAAGCACATCCGCCGACCCTTTTGATCTTGTCGGGGGCCTTCTACCGAAGGGCTTTCGGCCTGTCCCGCGAGCGTATGTGGGAGTGGGATCGGAGTCAGCATGGAGTTTTCTTGGAACTCGGGGCGCTTTCGGTGGGCTCTTGGGGGGCTCATCGACGCCGAGGGTCGAAGAACAAACATGTTGCGTAAACGCAAGCCCTCGGCGCTCCGCGCGGATTTCTTGGACCGGCGCCAGGCCTTCCCTGGCGGCGCCTCCCGGGCCACCCCCCGGCGCTCTCCGCGTGCCAGGACGAGGGGGCCCAACGCCGACCCGAGACGTCCGCGCGGATGATGCGGGAGGGGAAGCAGCAGGCACACGAGTCCACGCTGGTCTCGAAAGTACGCACTGCGCGAGCGTTCAGAAGAAGCACAGCGCGGCGGGGGAGAGGCTGTGTCAGGACTGCGCGGAGGAGCGTGCCGGGTTGATGCGAGGTGCAGAGGATCGCAGACGGAAAGCAGAAACGGAAACGAAGCCGCTGATGTGTTATGCACCAGGTTTGGGGGATGACGATTTGGACCAGAACCAGGGCATCATCAGTCGGCGAAAGGAGCCAGAGTAGTGTGCCGTGCATGTGACAAAAACGGGGTCACCGCGAAAAGTGCGGCCGATGCGGTAAATCGGTTTGACCGAGAGTTGATGTGGGACTCCCGCGGCAGAGCCACATAACCAGCCCATAGGAGACAGAGCTCCTCGAAGGGGGGGAAATCGGTATGCGCAGACTGCGCTAGCGCTTTTTCTACTTCGCGCGGTTGGCAAGCGTAAGTGTGTTCTGGCCCTTGTAGGAGAAAGCTCCTAACATTTGAGTTCGCGGGGGGCAAAGTGCGCGCGTGCCCACGCGAGGGGCACGCTAAAGTGCAATTCGTGCGAGCGAGGCCGTTGTTGTGTCCGTCAGGGAGGGTCCAGAACGCGAGCGATGGTGGCGACAACGCGAAAGAGAACGGCTCGGGTAGTCAGGAGGAGGAGGGGGAATGGGGGGGAGGAGGAAAACGATATGAAGAGCTGCGGAAGTAGGACAAGGGCGTAATATTGTGAAAGTGGACCGTGAGAGCGCGTGGGGGTGGGCACTGGTAGTCGGGGCTCCCGCCAGCTGGCCTCATTTCAGGGAGGCTGGTTGGAAGATTTCGCCCCAGTCGATGGGAAGGAGAGGAGGCGGAAGAGTAGGAGGAGGAGGAGCAGGAGGAGGAGGAGGAGGAGCAGGAGGAGGAGGAGCAGGAGGAGCAGGAGCAGGAACCATATCAAAAGGAGGAGGAAGAGGAGGAGGAGGAGGAGGAGGAGGAGGGGGAGGATGAACGGAGAAACGTATGAAGCGCACACAGAGAGGCTGTGCTCGGGCGGGCTGACTGGCGGTATCGGAGTTCGATTTTAGGGCATCGTGGAAGCCTCTTGGGTCATGTGGGAGCTGTCCTGGGGCCTCTGGCGGCCCTTTTCGAAACCTTTTGGCATGTCTTGGGGCAATTTCGGGAGCCTCACAGGCCGTGTTTGAGCGTCGGCAAGCCGAAAAGGCGAGAGCGTCGAAATCCTTCAGAAACCTTTGGTACATTAATGGGTTCTGCCTCTTAGGGGTATTCTTGGGTGTGTTTTAGAACGCTTTGTGGGGCCTCTTGGCAGCTTCTTGGGGCATCTGATGGGCCTTTTCGGAGCCTCTTGGGTATCCCTTCGGGCCTCCTGGGTCGTAATGGGCCGAGGGCTCAAAATGTTCGTTGGGGTTCCCCGTTGGGGCCCCCTGTTGGAGCCATCGTGGGGGCCTCTGGGGCCGTCTTGGAGTCGTCTTGGGCCATGTTGGGGCGTTCTGAGGCCGCCTTAGGGGCCCTCTTGGATGCACCTCGTGCCGTCAGGGCGCAATCTTGTGGGCCTCTGGACCTGCCTGGGAGCGTCGGGAGGCCGACGAGGCGAGAGCACCAACATTATTCAACAACCACAAGACAATACAACATGTTTTTTGCACTTTGGAGCTTCCTTGAGAGTGCTCGCGGATGCCTTTGGAGCGTCTTCGAGGCTTTGCAGACAGTCTCGGCGGCGAGTTGTACTTGGGGCTTCTGAGTGCTCTCTTGGTCGTCTTGGAGCCGTCGGGGCCCGTTTTGCGGCAGGAGGAGCCTGGCGAGAGCCAGGTTCCCGCGGGGAGGGCGGGACCCCCCCCCCCGGATGAGTTCGGCCAAGGGTCGTGCGAGGCCGGGGGGGTCAAATTTCTCGTTTTGGGGTCTCTGGGGGTCTCTGGGGGGGGGGTAGGGTGGGGGGGGTCTCGCACGCTCGGAGACCCACCAGGGGTTGGCGGACTTTCGTAGTACCCGCTCAAATCTGCGCTGTGCCAGGCCTCCCGCATGTGGTCCGACTGGGTGGGGTCGGAGGATCCTGCCGCATCGGCGACGCATCGGCGATGCGGCTCCACGTGGCGCCCGATGCCCGCGTCGGCGGTGCGGCCGCGACGTCCTCGGCCCAGCCGCTGCCTCGGCCTCGTTGAGACGACGCCGAGACAGCAGAGAGGGAAGCCATACCTCGCCAAGAAGCACTTGTGTCCTGAGGGCCACGGGTTCTCGAGTTATGCCGTTGCTTGTGCCCATTTGGGACCCTGCGCGGGTCCTGGACGTCAGAAGGAGACTCGGGACGAGATGCTTGTCGTGAGGGAAGGCCTCTGGGTCTAAGACCCGTGTTCCTCAGGGTCTCTTTGCTTCATGCCAAGATAGGGCCAAGTCTGCTAACCTTGCCGCTCGTCGCCGTGGCCCGATTCGCGTCCATGCCTTGGTCGGGACGCACCCTGGGAGAACTCCGCGGAGCGGAACGGCCCGCAGGGATGACGTCGCAATCGGGAAAATGAGAACCCGCGTCAGCATACAATTTCGGAGGAACTGCTCCGAGAACTTGTGTGTGTCGCTATTTCGGGCGAGAGGATGCGTATCAACGGCACGGTCGCTGGTGGCCTATCAGCGTGTTACTTCTTCATTTCTGTTCTGAGGTCTGCCGTCCCTTCAACCGCAGCGCGTTGATTGGTTCTCCACTGCAGCGTGTTACGTGGCACACCGCGGCTGCGGATACAAGTGAGGGAGCGGGGAGGGCGTCGGCAGTCTGCGAGGCTCTGAGGAAGCCCGCCGCAGGCGTAGTTTTTTGTTATCTCTTCATATGCATACATATACATACGCATACGTATATATATACATATATATATATATATATGTTAATGTATACATACGTATCTCTCTATATATAGTTACATATGTATATCTGTAGTCAGCGTGCCCGCCACGGGCGCCGAATTTTGTCAACGCAATGCGGGTAGGTCGCGGGGTGGGCCGCGGGCGAGGACAACAACAACAACACTCATATTGTTTGGTTGTTTGCTTTCGCATGCTCGCGCGGAAGTCGCCATCTACACCCCAAACCCTCGATACCTCCCCCCCCCGCCTTTTTCGTCTTCGATCGTGCCCCCCTTGGGGTTATCTTGCCTGCCACGTGTAGTCGGCGCAGCCCCTGGCATAGGGGAAGGGAAGGAGGAGGGGGGAGACAATGGTGAGGGAGAAGGGTTGAGCACGAGAGAGAGATTTGCAGGAAGGGTAGGAAGCAGGAGCACAGGCGGCGGAACCAGATAGGCGGGTCGGACGGGCAGACCCTAACGCGAGGAAGCTTCGAGCGATAGCGCGTTCCCCAAGCAACTCGTGAGAACATAAATCTAGAGCGAGAGCGTGATTCCAGAGTGTTGGGGTCGCGGCGCCGCAGTAAAGTGTAAGGACGTGCCACGCGAAGAGGCGATTTTGGATAAACTGTAAGAAAGTCCAGCGCGAGAGCACAATGTATTATCAACTCTGAGTAAGTTTCAGGCGGGAGCCGTTGTTGTGGTAAACCAGGGCATAGTGTGAAAAATCCGGGAGCGAGCCCCGTGACGCTCACACTGCGCACTAGGCAGGGGGGATCTACAATAGCTATTCTTCAGAAAAGATATCTCCGCGCAGCAGCGGCAGCGTGACAACAATCCGCACCGTGGAACCCCACTTCATCCACGCGTCCGTCCAGGGACAGTGCATGACGGGTCGGCTCCCCTCACTCTGGTTAATGTCAGGGCTGGACCTAAACGGTGTTTTTGGCGATTTCGTGGGCTGTTCTCGTTTCGACTTCGCTTTGCGGTAAAGGCGGATTCGAGACAAAAGCGAGGAAAAACGATAACAAAACGAAAACGAAAAACACCGTTTAGGATCAGCCCTGGCTGGTATTGTGTGTTACTCCTGGTTGTTCCGCCAGAGATGAGGCACAGCTCGGGTTCGGCCGGGGCTCGCTGCTCCTGGTTGCCCCTCCGTCGCTCCTCGTGCACCCAGGCCTCTCCTGAGGCCTCAAGAGGGGATCCCTTACCAGCTGCTCCTCGTCCTCCTCCTCCTCCTCCTCCTCCTCCTCCTCCTCCTCCTCCTCCTCCTCCTCCCCCAGCCCCCTCCCCCCCCCCTCGGCGGCGGGCAGGCCTCTGAGGACGACCAGCTGCACAGCCGTTCGCTCGCGAGGGTCCGCGCGCGGACTTCCTGTGTCGGCGCCTGCCCCGCCCCCCCCGGAGGAGTGCCCCTGGAGCCGGGGCGGCCCAGGCACCGGTCGGCAGCACGGTCGAGCCACAGCGGAAGGAGGGATCACAGCTTCACCTGGGGTGGGGCTATGGTTCCCCGTGAGGCCGATCAGCCCACGGCTGATCCACTCCGGGATCCAACGAGTTCCACTCACCGGCCAATTTTCATCTGATGCGCAGCGTGTTCTTCTTCTGCCCCTCTCTGCCGAGGTGGTGGCACGTCATCTCCGACACCACGCCCTTCACCACCCTGCGCGGCGGCGCCTCGGCAAAGGCGGCGCCGAGTGCGCGGCACGAGCCAGGCGGGGTCCCCACCGCTGCCCATGCGCCGCTCTCTGCCGCCGCCGCCGACTTGTCGGGCTGGCTCGCTGCCCTCTCCGCCCAGGCTCGGCGCGCGCGGAAGCTCCGCGCCGCGCCCCCGACCTTGCACCGCCGCGCGGCCCGCGCGCGGCCGCCGCCGCGCCCAGCATGGGGGGTGGACGTGGAGGCGGCGGCGGCGGCATCCGTCGCCGCCGTCGCCGTCGCCGCCGCCGTCGCCGCCGTCGCGGTCCTCCTCCTCTCCCTCCTTGCTGATCCCCCGCTTCCTCGTCCTCGTAGACGCTTGGGGTGAGTGGGGTGATGAGTCAGAGATTTCCTTCCAGCCCGAGTGTTCTGAGCGCTCGATGCCTGAGGTGTTCGTCCGGGGCGCCCGAGAGAAGAGGCTCCGCCGCATGCCGCTCTCCTGCCTCTGGCCGTCGCCGAGACGCTGCGGAGTCCTCTCACAGCTGGGCGTTGTTGCAGCGGCAGCAGGTGCAAAAGGGGCCAGCCCACCTCAGCCGCAGCAGGGGTTAGCGATCCTGATGATTATTACGATGGTGGTGATGCTGGTGGTGATGTCATGTTGATGATGATGATGATGATGATGATGATGATGATGATGATGATGATGATGTTGTTGAAGAAGAAGATGATGATGAATACTAATACCAATCATTTTGATAATAATGGTAACTCTACGATGATGATGATAATGATGATGCTGATGATGATGACGATGATGATGCTGATGCTGCTGCTGATGATGATGATGATGATTATCATGATGGTGATGATGATGATGATGGTGGTGATGATGATGATGATGATGATGATGATGATGATGATGATGATGATGATGATGATGATGACGGTGATGGTGGTGGTGGTGGCGGTGGTGCTAAGCGTCCTGGCTTAGCACTTCTGGCTGAGACAATCTTGTGTTGATGCATCGGTTTTCTCTCACAGGCCCATTGTACTCGTGATTCGATTGTTCTGAAAACATGTCGTGTTAGGGTTTGGGACTGCCGAGACGGTCGGTCCCTGCTCGAACTCACCATATCGCCGTGAAAGAACCGGGTCCTGATGAAAACGGGTCTTGAGATTTTTACCTCTTATTTTGGCATCCCCAATCCCTCCACGGGCCCCGGGATTGGCAGAACACGACATAATACAAATTTGCACGAAAAGTTTGATCTGGGGATGGTCCCTGGGGTCCAGGAACCGTGTCCCTGATGGCCCGCCAAGTTCCCCATCAGTCGGCGGCATTTGACCAGCCTGCTGTGCAGGTGATGACGAGACGATGACAGGGTGGAGCGAGGAGGCTCACCAGCAGGATCACGAGGGCGACGGAAAGGACAAAGAGGAGGCGGAGCAGGGGCGCGTCGTCTGCTTCCCTTGCTCAGCCTTATTCCCCTCCCCTCCCCCTCTCCATTCGCCCCCCGCCGGTCTTCGTGGCCGTCGCTGCCGCCGTCCCTCCGCCGTCCTCGTCGTCGCTCGGCGGGGCACACATTAGAATAGGCGGCCCCGGCGAGCGGGGCGGTGGCTCTGTGAGCTAGGCCGCCCCGCTGGAAGGCCATGCGCCTGCAGTGGGGCTGCGGGGACTGGCTCCGCACGCGACACGCTCCGCTCACGCAGCCCGCCCCGACCACCAAGGACGACCTCTCCCAAGCCGCGAACGGGGCCGAGGCTGGAGCCACAGCCGCTGCCGAACCGAAGCCGAGGCTGGTGCCGCAGTGCACCCCAAAGTGTCCTTGTTGAGATGCCCGCTGCGCTGAGTAAATGTTTTGCGGGTTATATATATGTGTATATATATATATATACATGTATACATGTATATGCTAATGTTAGCTCACGTGATGAATTTCCGACTGACCTAACGCAATTGCAGCGTATTTTGTTGATCAGTTACGACATGTTCCGTTGACGAGCTACTACTGGTTCGCGCATTTACCTTGTGATTTACAATCGGAGGTCGTCGATTTTGATAAGCCAGGAATAACTTGTTTAATACGTGATGAGTAAGTGGTGAGCAAGTCCGATACGCCTTGATATGAAGACCACGAACCCTGTACTATGTAGTTTCGTCTTGGTTGTTATGAGCACGCACAATGATTTCGCATAGTGCTTTGGATTCGCCGCTGCTGTCGGATAATATGGCCACCAGGATGAAAAACCAAGCGTTTCACTTCAATGTTTGGCCATGGTATATGTTGCGTCTGGGGCCCACATAAGTCCCGCGTGAAATTCACCAGTTGTGTCGCGTGTTGATTTTCTTGTGAATGATAGCTCGTTGTAGAAGTCAAGTACTATTCCGCCGCAGCGGGTATTCAGCATTACCTCCTGAGTGCAGTTTGTTTTTTCCGTAGTTCAGGCCGCGCATGCGCGATGCAACGCGCTTGTTTGAACATGCGTGCTCTGATGCCATAGAGCTGCGTGCCCAACGCTGAGCGCTCACAGCTCGCAAATGCTCGCTGCGCTGCAGCGCGCGGCGCGCATGCGTGGCGTTTCCGTTGGGCGTTGCGGCGTTGGGCTGAGCGCAGCGACGGTTCGCGCGCGTTCCTCGCGCCCGCGCGAATTTGCAGTGCGAGACCGCGCGAGCCTCAATCTAGGCGGCGCAGGCGATGGGGACTCCGCAGGACATGCGAGCCAAGAAAATACGCTGGTGCAGGCGATGTCTCCGCTAGCCAGAGCGGCCGCTTCGCGTCGGGCTGGGGCCCCATGAACACATGCTTTTGCTATAAAAAACTTAGCGCGCATGCTGCAAACACCCCTGCCGCTGGCGGGGCGCGCCTTTGACCGTTGAGGGCGGCGGCGGCGAATAGGTCAATCCTACCAGCGCTCGCAAACTCGGAGCAAACATGGTCGCCCAAGGGTGCGTCCGCTCCATGGCGCCGAACGCCGCGGCGTTCGAAGCTCGCGACAGGCCCGGATGCGACGAGGTCGTCGCCGCGAACGATCGGTGGTCGCGGCCGGGCGGAGGCCTTTGCCCTCCGCGCAGGAGGATTCGCTTCGCCCCAGTATGGAGGTTCGCGCGCCAACGTGTTCTTGGCGCGCATGATCTGCGTCGCGCGGGCCGTGGCGCCCGCGGATGGTTGCGGCTGCGTCGACGAGGGCCGGTCTCTGAGGGCCGCCTGCTGGCAGCCCGGCCGCCGCTGGCCGAAGCTTGCAGAAGAGGGTCGCATGCTGCGCGATAAATTCAGGAGGAGAAAAAACACACAGACACAATTAATCCTCGATTCCCCTGAAAATATGGGAAAATATGGGAAGTGGGGGGGAAGACAGAAACCCAGAAAATATGGGAAAATATGGGGGATATGTTTATTTGTGTGTATTTATTTGTGTGTCCTGGGGCCCCTTCATAAATGACAAAGCCAACGCGGCAGGGTTGAAGAGGTTCGCGCAGATGGCCGCGACCGCCGTGGCGCGCGGCGCCGCACGCGAGACCGAGGTCGCACGAACTCGCGCGGCCCATCCGCGCGGCGGCGTTGATGGCGACGCGGGGCGACGAAGCAACGGATTTAGGGATCGGGGAGGCGGTTTGTCCCGTGTAGTCGGAGGCGCGCGCATTTTCGGCGCTGCGATCCGCTCTGTCGGCGCGCGCCGCCGCGGGCGCGCGCGTTCTCGCGGCCCGCGACCTCTCCGTGGGGATCGCGCGACCAGATTATGAAAGCATCCCCGCGCAGGCGATCCAGGCGATCCCGCCGCGCCCATCGTGGATTCCAGGCCAGTGTAGGTTCAGCGCGAGCGCGGAGCTCCCGCGCGAGATCAGCAACGCGTTGGGGGGCGTTCTCTGAAGCGGGAGCCACGGGGCAGACAATCGTGATCGGATCTCAGTTCTGGAGAGAATTCGGTCCGTCAGGTGGGGCAAGCGCGACGAAGTTTTCCATCGCGCGGTCGCGAGCCTTACTGGGGCTAGCTACTCGGGCTCGAACGTAGTAGGCGGGCTTTGCCAGACTAGCTATCAGCATGTCGGGCTCCCGCGCGTTGCCATGCGCTGGGGCGCACGGGGGCTGCGCGATGAGCTGCGTTGAACGTGCGTTGGCACTGCGTATGCATGATGCATGTGCGATGTGCAGTGCGCGCATGCGTCGTTACATGCGCGGCGCGCATTCGAATTCCTCCGCAGTCGCTGCGATGCCGGGGCGGATTGCATCGTCTGACATCGGCGCGATTGCGTATCACCGGCGCCGGGCTTGACATTTTGACGGCAGATGCCAGGGGTCTTTTGAGGAGGACGGGTTCAGGCCCGCGACCAGGATAGACGCGCGCCCTGCCTTCTTTCTGGCGAGCGGGGCCCCCGCGGGCGAGAAGCGCCGCGGCTCGGCGTTCGACGTCGCGCGGGTCTGTGCGCCAGTCTAAACTTGGTGGCAAAATCGGCCCTTTTGGTCGTCGCCGCCGTCTCCGTCGCCGGAGGTCACTGCTGCGGCAATGGTCGAGGACGTGGGGGGGCCAGCCCAGACAGAGACGGGGCGTCGGGGCCCAATCCGCTTGGGCGCCGGCCAGCGGGGAGGCGACTGGGTCGCGGGCGCCGCGGCGAGCGCCAGAGCAGGGGGCCCAGTCGCCGCGACGATTGTCGCTGAGATGAAGAAGACCGACGTCTTCGGGGCGAAGATGGCGGGCTGCAGTTTCAACGGGCGCGGCTTTCCGCTGGGCCTCCGCAACATGCGCCTCGCCTTCGGAAGCGTGCGCCGGGCTTCCCGCGACGGGGCCGGGCCCCGCCGCGCGGGCCGCGCCGGGCCTTCTGCGACGAGGTCGGTTCAACAAATCGGGGCGGCAACGGGCCGGTTCCCAACGTAGAGGCTGCACAAGGCCTTCCGCAACATGTACCGCTCCCTCCGCAACGTGCACCCGGCCGTCCGCGACGCGGTCGGTGCCGAGACGCCGTGCCTGTCTTTCCGCAGTTTGCATTGGGCCTTCCGCTGCATGTGCTGGGCCTTTCGCAACCATGTCGGTTCTCAAAGTAGAAGCCGCACTGGTGATTCCGCAAAGTGTGCCGGCTTCCCGCAACATGTGACGCGCCTTCCGCTACACGGTCGGCTTCGATCGTAGACGCCGCATTTGGCCTTCCGGAACATGTACCAGGCCTTCTGCAACAATGGTTGGTTTCCCAGGTGGGGGCCGCACCGGGCCTTCCGCAGCAGGCGCTGATTTTTTTGCAACATGCAGCGCGCCGTCTGGAATTGCGTTTTCCGCGACAGCGGTTGGTTCCCAACGTAGGTGCTGCATTGGGCCTTCCGCAACACGAACCGCGACCGCCCGACCCGCCCGTCAGGGCCCGCCCGCCCGACCCAAACGGGCCTTCTTTAGCGGACCAGGTTTTCCGCAACATCTGGCTATCCCAATCGGATCTGGCATTCCCGAACCAATCGGGCCTTCCCAAACTTCATTGGTTTTCCGCAACATGCGGCCCAGTCTTTCCAAAAACATCGAAAGTTTCCAAGGCAAAACGGGCTTTCCCAAACGCGACGTTTCGCGTGTGTTTGTGAAGACTCGCTTGTTTTGTAAGCGTACGCCAGCCGGCCCAGCGCCGCCCCGAAAAATCCGCGCGAACTTCCGAAATTGCACGTTTATGTTTATATCATTAGTTGTCTTTTGACCGAGGCGGCGGCCGCGTCCTCGCCGCGGCGGCCGCGCCGTAGCCGCCAGCAGTTTCCGCGCCCTCGCCGCCGACGCGTCTTCGCGGCATCCTCGCCGCGTCCTCGCCGCGTCCTCGCCGCGGCCGCCGCGTCTTCGCTGCGCCCGCCACGCCCATGCCACCGCCGCCGCGCCGTCGAGCGGCCGCCGCCGCGCCGTCGAGGGCGCCCCCTGCGGACGAGCGCGGACGCCGCGGCGGCCGCGGAGGGGTGCCGCCGGGCGGCCGCGGAGGCAGCCCTCGCCTCGCTCGCGTCGGACGGCTTTCGCCTCTCAGATGAAGCGAAGGACGACGACGACGACGTCGACGACGTCGACGACGGTGACGTGTCGACCTCGACGACGACGGCGACGGCGACGGCGAGGGCGACGGCGAGGGCGACGACGACGACAGCGTCGATGGCGATGACCCCTCAGAGGATTGACGAAGGAACAACACACACACCCATACTCATAGGTATTGGGGCGGGTTGTTGGACCCCAGGGGATGCTCCTTTTCGAGCCCCATCCGGAAACTTGCATCCATAGCCCCCATCTGTACTATCTTTCGGAGCTCCGCGCGTATTTCTTGGATTGGCGCTGGACCCCCCTGGCGGCGCCTCCGCCGCCGCTGGCGCGCTCCGCGCGTCAGGAAGGGGGGATCCAGCGCTGATCCAAGACATCCGCGCGGACCTCCCGAAGTTTAGTTGTCTTTGGTGTCTCATATGTTTTTTGTATGAGTTGACAGCTACAGTCAGAATCCATAGTAAGGATGCGCTGCTTCATGAAGGCTACCCTTGCATTCCTGCGTCTTCGGCCCATCCTGAGCCAATCTTGATGTTCAAATCGCTTGAATTGGTAAATGGGACTCCAAGAGTCTTGCACCCTTACCTGGCACCCTTGCTATGGATTCCGACTGTAGCACCCATACCTTTACGGCCCCAGGAGTTCGGCCACTCAGATGGGGTCGGAGTAGATGGGGTCGGTGGATCGCGCCGCATCGCCAATGCATCACCGAGACGGCTCGATGCGGAGGCCGATGTTCTCCATGCCGACGTCGCCGATGCATCGCCGACTTCGCCGATGCATCGTCGACGCATCGACGATGCGGCGCGACCCTCCGACCACATCTACTCGGACTGAGCTTGGGAAACTTCCATCAGAGGAGGGCGAATTGAGAAGAACGGCTTGACGTTGTCTCGTGAGCTGACATGACAACTAGCACCCATACCTACACGACCCCCAGATCTATCGTGGCGAATTTCTGGAAGTGCTTTGGGTGCGTGTTGTCAGATGGGGTCCCCGCTCGAACAGGGGGCCCCCTCGGGGTCCCACAACCCGCACCCATACGTACGGCGCAGCCTCAAGTCGCGAGGCCTGGGTCAGCCCCCCTATGAGCATGGGCGTGTGTTGTCCGCTGGTCATTCTCGACAGCTTTCGTCGGCCCTCTCGGCGCTTCCCCAGCCTCGGCATGCCTTCCAGCGACTGCGCCTCGCCGACAGTGGCCCCTGGGGTGCCTTGATCGTGCGTCGCTGGTCCGGGTCCTGGGCGCCGACCATTCAGGAGGGAAAGAAACACACAGACACAATTAACCGTCGACTCCCAGGAAAATATGGGAAAATATGCGAAGTGGGGGGGAAGACAAAAACCCAGAAAATATGAGAAAATATGGGGAATCTTTTTAGTTGTGTGTATTTATTTGTGTGTCCTGGGGCCCCTTCAACCATCGACGCCCAGACCTCCAGGGGTGTGCTTTCGCCACGATCCCGGGCGAATTTTCCGGCCCTGGTGACGAGGCGCCTCCCCGAGGCCCCAAGCTGGCGATGCACAGTTTAAGAAACCCGCGAACTCGATCTTCGAGCCTCGAGGAGCCCTTCCTCCTCCCTCCTCCTCCTCCTCCTCCTCCTCCTCCTCCTCCTCCTCCTCCTCCTCCTGTCCGCACGCTGTGGGGGAGCGGCGCGCGAGGGGAGGGGCGCTGCAGGAGGGAGGGGCCAGGCCAGCCACGACTGGGGGAGCTGTGGCCCTTACCCCCCCATTGGGGACCCATCGCTCTCGACACCCCCCTCGAGAGATCGTCGATGCGATGGGTTCCCCCAGGGGGGTCGGGACCACGGCTCCCCCCCAGTTATGGCTGGTCGGGGGATGCTGCTCCTTGGGAGGCCGGCCTCTCCTCAGGGCCAGAAGCCTGCGAGGAGACGCCTCGGAGGCTGGGAGGGCTTCTCTGAGACGTCCCCCTTCAGAGCCCCGAATCATCAGGGGTAACTCGGGTCAGGGCTAACTCGGGTTCGTTTTTCGGGAATCCGAACCCGACTTACCCCAGACCCGAGTTACCCCGGATAATTCGGGCGTCCAGAGCCCCGAATCATCAGGGGTAACTCGGGTCAGGGCTAACTCGGGTTCCTTTTTCGGGAATCCGAACCCGAGTTACCCCGGACCCGAGTTACCCCGGATAATTCGGGCGCCCAACCCCTGTCTTCTCGGGGGGCCCTCGCGAGTTCTCGAAGGGCCAAACACCGCCCTCGCGCCACCCCCTCGCGCGCCAGCCAGCAGGTGGGCGGCGGAGGCAGCGGAGGCGATGGCGCGGGCACGAGCCGGCTTCCCCGGCAAGGCCGCGCGCGAGCGCCCCGCCCACCTCCCCGCGGCGCTCCACGCTGGCGGCCAGCGCGAGACGCGGCGTCAGCAGTGGGCGGCGAGCATCACAATGTCCACGGCCTCGCGGGCCGGGCCCCTCCTTACCAGCCTCGAACGTATCCCCATCCCTAAGATTGACACGCCAAAAGGCGATGACAATCTTAGGGATCCGCCCTCAAAAAATGAGGGGATCCCTAAGATTGGCATCGTGATGAGGAGGTGCCCAGCATAGGGATAGGGATATGTTCCAGGCTGGTAACCTCCCCCATGGGTACGGGGCGTTTCTTCGCGGACGCATCTCGCGGAACGTGTCCATGCCACCGCGGATGCACCGGAGATCTCGCCCTGGAATCCAGACCGTCGGGGCGCTCCTGGGGAGGGTCGGCATGCCTCTTCGCCCACGGCCTCGGTGGAAATTCGTGGGAGCTCTCCATGTCCTCGGCATTCCATCCTCGGAGTATACCGTGCGGTCGCGTCTGGCAATCGATGGCGCCGGCGGCGTCGGCCCGCAGTGGCCAGCGAGCTGACATGGGAGGCCCCCGCGCCATGCCACAGCGCACGGTCCGCTGCCCCTCGTCGCCCGAGTCCCCCTCCCCCTCCCCCTCTCCCCTCCCCCATCCCCTTCCCCCCCTCCCCCCTCACCCCCACCCCCTCCCCCTCCTCCCCCTCCCCCTCCTCCTCCTCCCCCCTCCTCCTCCTCCCTCCTCCTCCTCCTCCTCCTCCTCCTCCTCCTCCTCCTCCTCGGCCCCGCGCGCCCAGAGGCGGCGTGGTCCGCCGGCGCCGGCTTCGCGCGGGCGGCCCGCCCGGCGCCCGCTCGGGCGCCGCCGGCCTCGCGCGCGGAGGCCCTCTCGCGACCGCGCGCGCACGCGCCCTGGCATCGCTCGGACGTGTGCGTTTTTTTCCTCGGCGAGGGCCATCGAGGAGCATCCTTGACCACTTGCCGAAAAAGCACGCACGAAACCGACAAAAGCACAGGGAATGGACGTCCGAGCGATGCCGAGGCGCTGGCCGTGCCGCCGTCGCTGGGGGGGCCGCCGCCGGGACCCGCGCCGCCACGTGCCTCGGCGGCACTCGGGGCCCTCCTGATCTCAAGCAGCGGCGAAGCGCCCTGGCGTGCCCATAGGTCTACCAAGCAATGTTCTAAGAACCTTTTCTCTGTGGTTTCCACGGAATGTTCTTGGAACATTCTGTCGGGGACTGTCTTGTTTTGGCACATCGGGTCGGGCTTATGTTCACTAAGGACATTGCGCTTGTTCTTAGAACACTGCTGGGTTTTAAAATTGGGGTAGGCCTATAGGAATGCTGGGACGGTCGGTCCCTGCTCAATGATCGCGCGTGACCTCTTTCACTGCTGGCCCACTGGGGTCTCCCGATCGATGAACACGACACGACAGCAGCGGCTTGCGCGCGTGGGCTTGGCCCCCCCGCGCCCACCGAAAGCCGCGCACCGAAGGTCACTCCTGCCGAAGGTCATCCTTGCGTGTAGCCACGTGCCGCTGGCTGCCCAGGTTTTCGGACGACTTCGTCGGTTCTCGGCGGGTTTGCTGGTCTCGGGATGCTCTCCAGCAGCTGCTCCTCCCCCGCTTCGTCCCAGCCCTGCCCGAGTCGTCCCGAACGGCCGCTGGAGATTCGAGTTCAAACCCGAAAACCAAGTCGGGGCCTGCTTAGTAGGTCGACCCTGCCAAATCAAGGGCACCCTGTTGTACTGTGGCTCGCGACGCATGCCTTCTACATTCCTGTGGCGATGTGGCCCTCGGAAGGCTCTGGTGTCCTCTCGCGTGTCCTCTCCCATGAAGCCCAACTGCAGGGCGACGCCGCCGACAGCAGCGCTGGCGAGGGCGCTCTCCGCAGGTCTCAGGGGGGCCGCGGGGCCTCTCCGCGGAGGCCTCCGGAGGCCCCCGCGGCCCTCCGGAGGCGTCCACGGGGGTAGCTCGGGGGGGGCGAGGAGGCCGAGCAGGGTCGGCACCGTCGGACGATGCTCAGGGTCAGAGGACGAAGAGGTGCCGATCATTGCGGCTGCTTGTTCTGGAAAGCCCTCGTCTCTACGGCCAGGCTATCTCGGCATTTTACGACGTTTCGCCTAAATTATGCCCAGGCAAGTTGCCTTGATCAGAGAAGTGGGGGAGCACGCGGTGAAACAGAAAAGCAGGGAAGCCGGTCAAATCTAAGTTTTGAATCAGCCTGAGCAGCATTGGCGGGAAGGGCGGAGGACAAAAGGATGAGGCGGGAGGAGGGAGGAGGAGGAGGAGGAGGAGGAGGAGGAGGAGGAGGAGGAGGAGGAGGAGGAGGAGGAGGAGGAAGGAGGAGGAGGAGGAGGAGGAGAGAGAGGAGGAGGGGAGGGAGGAGAGGAGGAGGAGGTGGAGGAGGAGGAGGAGGAGGAGGAGGAGGAGGAGAGGGAGGAGGAGGAGGAGGAGGAGGAGGAGGAGAGGAGGAGAGGAGGAGGAGGAGGTAGGAGGAGAGGAGGAGGAGGAGGAGGAGGAGGAGGAGGAGGAGGAGGAGGAGGAGGAGGAGGCTGATGCTGATGCTGATGCTGATGCTGATGCTGATGCTGATGCTGATGCTGATGCTGATGCTGATGCTGATGCTGATGCTGATGCTGATGATGCTAATGATGCTAATGATGCTA